TATAACAAGCTTGATGGCATTATCAGACTTGTTACAAGGTTGTTCTAACAAGTCTGATACAGTCATATGATATAACAAGATTGCTACAAGGTTGACGACACAAAGTTGTAACAGTACTGTTGTATCATGACTGTATTGGACTTGTTGGAACAACCTTGCAACAAATCTCATAATTTCAATAAGGTTGTTACAAGTTGTTCACAGCTTGTTCCAAACTTGTTGACAATTTGGGACAAGCAGTGCGAACACAACTTGTTGGCAGACTTGCTACAAGATGTGAGATTTTCCGTGTGTACATTGAGGGTGGTGTGGAAGCACGCTACTTACACGTGACTGAAATCAGACAAATACATGTTGCAGGAATCGCGCCACTACACACGTAAAAATCTCACAACTTGTCAACAAGATGTGTTCGCAACAGGGCTTGTAGCATGCTTGTCAACAAGTTGTAACAACGCTGTTATTTTATCAAGTTGCTACAAGGTTGTCACTCACAACTTGTTGACAAATTGATGAATTGCAGGATGATAACTTGTAACAAGTCTGTTGAGCTCAACAACCTTGTAGCAAGTTGTCAACAAGCCGTTGACAACTTGTCAACAAGCTGGGAACAAGCAGTGCGAACACATCCTGTTGACAAGTTGTTGGCACAGCATTGCTACAAATCTGCTGCAGGTTTGTTACAACTCGTGCGTTTTTACGTGTGTATGCCATTTCCCCATGCGTTTTGTTTAATTTAGATCAAAACTGGACATTTCATGGAAGGCTTGACGAAGCTGAAATGGAACAATTATTTTACTTTGTCTTACTTCAAAAAACTCTCAAATCTTGTCTATCAGTTATGAACATCCCGACACTCAGAGAATTCGACACAAAAATGGAATATGAGGTAACATAGATATTATTATGGAAAAGATCAAACAGGAAAACTATTTTGTGGAAACATGTGAAGATTTTGATATTTTCGCCAATATCCCCCGTTTGCCTTCCCCCTTAGAAAACATGTGATCCCAGAACAAAAACATGTCGCCATCTGAACCTATCTGAAACCATTTGATTCTGAACCTATCATTAAGGATGGTTTACACTATCAAAGTTTCTGTGATCACAGTAGGAATTTTGCATAGTTAAATTCTACGTTTTGAAGGATTTGTAAGAGATGTTTGAGGAAACTGATTCAGCGTTAAATACTGAGTCATTTCCATCAAACATTTCTTACAAATCCTCCAAAACTTACAATTTACCTATGCAAAATTCCTATACTGTGATCACAGAAACTTTGATAGGGTAAACCAGTCTTTATAGATGCTGCGCGTTTGTCTACCCTAATATACAAACGAATTTATCGTATGTTCTATTTTCCCCACGAATTTATAGTAGAAAATTCTATTTTTCCTGTTTTAGAACACTCAGCTACGTGAAAATAAGGAAGTACAGGGTGGAAGGTGTCTCATTCCATCTCAATTAAGCAGCGTCAATGAATTGTGTTCAAATTGCTGCCGGCCATTAAGAAGCGGTAAAGATACAGCGGATAAAAGTAAGGAAGACTATCAAACGTTTCAAAACAGTACAATACTTCATGTTCCCAAAAATGAAATACAATACAACAGTTCAGACGAAGAACCGGCGTCAACGGTTTGTCAAAATCAAATTTGAAAAGAGCCCACGACTTTGAAGATGAACAGCAAAACAAAAAGAGAAAAAAAGGAAAAAGTCTCTTCGCTTGTTTTAGTGGAAAATGGTTAAGAAATAACAAACGATCCAAAAAGCGTTAGAGATTACTTGAATGAGTATAAATATTATGTAAAAGTTATTTTCAATATATAAAAAATAGAAAAAGTTATAGACCTCGAATTGTAAAAGGAATTATATGGAGTGAAACAATTATATTTATTTGCATTAGATCAGTTTTTTTCCTTGAACGTGTCATTGCTATATCATCTTATTAAATGGTTGATTCTTGTTTTAGCCGTTACAGTGGCCAAGTAAAGTTACTTTTCTATTTTTGGCGACCTGCGCATATGTGTGCACACCTACAGCTTATCCAAGGTATGCGCGACACGTTACCGATTGTCGCATAATTACACTCGGCCAAAAATACCAACACAGGTGTAATACGAAACAATACATTTGATTGTCACCCAATTTGTTTCAATATTTTAAAATTATTCAACGCATTCTGGCGTCCTCCGCAGGCAACCTTTTAAGGTAATTAAAATTATCCCCCACAATCCCCTAATATCACTCAGTATTCTAATCCACTCAGTATTCTAAAATGCTGATCGGACAAAATATTGTGTAATTCAGCCGTTTGCCACCGGGTTGCATGTAGTTTAAAGTTTGACTGTGGTTCTGATAGCTAGAACTTACTGCGAATAGTTTACAGAAAAATCCACAGTCTTAAAGTGATTCAATTATATTTTGTGGCAGTTCGCATAGAGATTATAAATAACATTGGTGTTATTTATAATCTCTATGGCAGTTCGTGGACATCGTTTTCCTGTCACCACAGCAACAGAATGCATTCAGCTAGCTAATTTAAATTCCGTTGCTATGGCAATATAGAGTCAAAACATTTTTCAGAAATGATTGACAAGCGAGTGAAAAACAACAACTCAGTTTTTTAAAAAGACTTTTTAGTTGGCTGTGAAACAGTTTTTATGTGGAAAAGAGGTTGTAGAAATAATAGTCAAATATAAAAATGTTTAAAATTCCTAAACAATTTTTGGAACACAAAAGCGAGAAAACGACAACTGTATTTTCAAGTCTTGGTTGCAGGTATATTAATGTTTTTCTTTACTTTTTAACTTTACAATGTCATGCAAACTTAAAATAATATTTTTCACATATCTTCGTTTAGTTTTCGGTCTATAAAGTTTTAGATGGAAACTATCATAATCTTTTTAGGGATCAAACAGTTATCCAAAACCTTTTGCATGTATATTAAACAACAGCCTTGGAAAGAAGCCAAAATGTAGTGGTTGCAATTTTTTTGCAAAATGTGAAATACGAAATAATCTTTGAATTAAAATAAACTTGACGTACTTTCCAAATATAGAGTCAATCCTGGTACAGCATCGAAATTATCTGATCAAGATAAAGACCCGATTCTGATGCCTAAACCTCATATGACCGAGGCCCAGAGTCCAGAAGACCGAAAAGTGATTGAAAACGAGAAACAAATGCTTCATGACAGTTCAACAGGAACAAAGGAGAAATTTAATTCCCAATCTAGTTCTTGTAAATATGCAATTGGTACAATGGAAATCAAGCATTGTGCAATAAAACCACTGGCACTGAAGAAAGAATCAGAAAAAACAGCCAGTTCATGCAATGAACATAGTGAACTTTCTAAAAACCATACTGAAACCAAAAAAGAGGAATTGAAGGAAAAGAATAATAGCAAAAGTAACATAAACACAAGAAATGCTTCGCAAAGTGCTGAAGGAAAACACGTTTCGAGTTCGGGAAAGGGTTCAGAAAGTCAAGTTTGTTTCCCTAAACATTTGATCACCGTACAAATACCGAAGGTTTGCTCCTCCAAGCCACAAATCACCCCACCACCAACACTGAACAGTCAAATCTCTGATAAGAAAGAATCAGCGAATGTATCCAGTCTACAAATACAAGTTAGCTCGTCATCAGATAAAAATCAAACGCGTCTTTCAAAGCCAGTGATATCAGAGCCAGTGACTACAAAACCATCACCAGAACAAGTTTGCTTCCCTCAAACTACGACAGCAACACCAGTAACCAGATATCAAGTTGGATCTCTTGGCTTCAAAACAGCCACACCCATAACGACGGTCCCTATTCGTTCCGGTCTCAGATTACTATCAATCATATCAACAGAGTCTGCTCCAAAAGTACAGATAACTGCAACACCAACATCAACACCAAAACCAACAGCAAAACAATTACCTGATATATCTACAGCAAAAGTACCATCGACTAAAGATGGTGTGTCCATATCACCTGGTAACACATCAAAAACTTCTACAATGGCCAAATCAACAGTCAGCACTCAACAATCACCAACACTAAAAGCTGGTATCCATCCCAATTCACCATTAACCACACCGAAAACACCAACAACGGTGGTCGCTAATCCATCATCAACTACAACACCACAGAAATCAACAATAGATACGTCACTTACGACAACACCACAAAAACCATCCTCGACTAGTTTGTCCAATGTAGTGATCGTATCACCACAGACATCACCGATCAAAAACGTAGTTGGTACTCTTAGGTCACATATCACAACACCACAAGCAACAAAAGGTGTAGCTGCCAATACACCCACTTCACTAATTTCGATGGCCACTCCAGTTTGCTCGTCACAAATAACACCACCGTTGAAAGAAAATGAATCACCAAGAACACCCCAAAGTGAACCGACGTTTAAGACATGGATACCTCCGCCTGATATAGATCCTATGAGTCAGACATTTCTCAGAATGCCTTTCATCTATCAAAGTTTACAAGTCCAATGTAACCATGGTAACCGACCTCACGTGAAGAGACCTATGAATGCGTTCATGGTGTGGGCGAAGAAAAACAGATCCTCCATAGCAAAGAGGTAACGTGTTAGTTTAGTATGAAGGTAATAAATAATACTTGTGAAATCCATGAATAGGTTACCCATACAAAATATGAATAATGTCAATTTGGCTTGTGACAGTATATTTTTATTCACAAACGCCAACCAGAAGTCAATCAAGCCGTTACATATCGTAAGAGTTTAAGATTTGCATGCATCCAGAAAGTTTTCCACAGAGGTAGTAATACTGTAGACTTGCTACAAGTCGACATCGACCTCATAATTGACTTCCGCAAATTCCTTACTCTTCAAGAATTACTTCCTTGAAAATTCCTTCTTTCTAAACAAAGACGAAGGACTTTGCGCAAGTCTAGTGATACCGGTACCAATAGGCCCATCCAAGGTTAAAGACGCCATCATGAATCTAATGTTTTCACCATTGTGTTTGCACCCCCTGCAAATTTACCTACGGGGAATTCCATTGTTTTTGCACCTCTTGCGCTATTGTGTTCCATTATAGCGTCGGAAGGATAGTTGAGAGTCGAAAATCTCCGAAAAAATCTCCGAGCAATAACGGTAATTGCGTTTCGAAACGGCGAAATAATTTATTTATTCTGGCAGTTCAAAACCAAACCATCGCAGGTTTTTTCCATCTACAAAAACCCATCTGTTACTTCTAACTGTTAGTTCTATCGATAGTTCCATACCGTAATGTGAAGAAACCAGTAAGAAACCAGTCGAGAGCCTAGCCTTAGGATATGTTTTCCTTCTTTACAAAAAAAACTACTATTTTTTTTTCTCTATTAAGATTTCCCAACGCAAGTAATGCAGAGATCAGCGTGAGATTGGGACATATTTGGAATGAACTGCCAAGTGATGAACAAAAACCTTACTTTGACGAAGCTGGTGAGTTGAAGGAGAAACACAAACACGAAAATCCCAACTGGGTTTATCAACCACGACCTGGCAAGAAATGTCGCAAGGCTCTTTTCACTTCAACTACATCTAAGAGTCAACCTACTTCGCCTGTAGCTCGGAGGATTATCGCGAAAGGCTACGATCGACCGATTCATCCACGAAGTGCCCCGAATTCACCGGCCGTCAAACGGCCATTGTGGCTTCCGAGGAAAACGGACTTGTCGGAGGAGGAACTACAATCAAGAATTGTGGAAGATTTATTGGACGACGAAGTACACGAAAACGCGGAAGAGGAAGGCACAGGGAATCCAACGATGGACAGATATATTGATGAATGGTTAAGTCCAAAGAGAACAAAAAGAGACGAAAATGAACTCTGTTTAATGAACGACGCCATGTTGCCTGCAGTCAATGATGATGAACAAAACATTCTGGAAGAGGAGACTCGCTGTGATGGCAGGGATTTTGAAAAATACATCAAGCAGTTGAAAACTGAACGCAATAATTTCACAAAACTTGAGAATAATATCAGCAATTTAGAGGAAGATGATGAAATTGAATGCGCATGATACGTTGTAGTTCGTAATTTTTAAATGAATTATTTTTTTAAAGAATAATATGTAGATTTGGGCAAACGTTGGATCGTTGTTGGGTCAAGGATTATTAATTGATGTAAAAAAGATGCAGCAATGGTTTTATCATAAAATATGCGTTAAATTTTATACACTATGTTTGATTCTGCTGTGATTTTTATTAGTTTTTAAACTATTACACTCTGTTCTTTTTAACAAAGGGCTTCACTCGCTCACTCACGCAAAATAACACCTTTTTACTTCATGTTCCGTGCATCATCTTTTTTATCATAACCACAGCCCCAATTTGTGGTTCGGTTAGGCCGAGACAGTAACAAAAACACCCCTGCTCAATGTTGTGAGACTAAAATTGACATTTATTGCACGTGGTTTTGTGTTCTATTGTGTTGTTGATAACTCTCCCAACACATAAAGTAACATTGAAATGGGGAAGGGGG